CTGGGTCTGGCACTGTGGCACAATAGGTTAATCCTCCTTCTGTGGCTCTGTCATCCCATAAGGGAGCCCGTTCTAGTCCCGGCTGCTCCTCTTCTGATCCAGCTCTCTACTATGGCTGGGGAAGGCAGTAGAAGATGGCCCAAGCCCTTGGGCCCCTGCTCCCTCATGAGAGACCCGGAGGAAGCTCTTGGCTCCTGGCTCTTGATCAGTTCAGCTCCGGCCATGGCAGCCATTGGGGAAGTGAATCAGCAGGTGGAAGACCTCTTTCTCTCTGTCTCTCCCTCTCACTGTCTGTAACTCTACTTCTGGACATGCAAACAGGGAAGAGGAGGGGAGGGTAAAGGAGGGGAAGGGAGGAGAGTTAAGGGGAAGGGAAGGGGAAGGGAGGGGAGGGGAGGGGAGATAAGGAGAGATAGAGATAGGGGGAGGGAGAGAGGGAGAGGGAGAGGAAGAGAGAGAGAGAGAACAAACTTCCACCAGTTGGTTCACTCCCCAAATAGCTGCAACGGCTGGGGCTGGGCCAGGCTGAAGCCAGGAGTCAAGAGCTTCTTCTGGAGGGAAAGGAATCTGAAATCTGAAATACTCTGGAATCCAAAACTTTCTTGAGTGCTGCTGTTATGCTACAATCGGGAACTTCCACGTCTGCTCTCCTGTGATGCGTCACACGCAAAAGGCAGGTGCTGTGGTGTAGCAGGTTAAGCCACTGCCTGCGGTGCTGGTATCCATATGGGTGCTAGTTCAAGTCCAGCTGTTCCACTTCCAATCCAGTTCCCTGTTAATGGCCTGGGAAAGCAGTGGAAGATGGACCAAGTACTTGGGTCCCTGCACCCATGTGGGAGACCTGGAAGAAGTTCCTGGCTTTGGCATCACCCAGCCCTGGGTGCTGTGGCCATTTGGGAAATGAACCAGTGGATAGAAAACCTCTCTGTGTGTTTCTCTCTCTCTCTCTCTCTCTCACACACACACACACTCTGTAACTCTACATTTCAAAATAAATAAATCTTTTAAAAACAAGGGCAGGTGCACTAAAAATGTATAAAATTCCTTAATTCTATGTGTATAACTTATATGTGAAGCAAAATGGAATTCTGTGTTTAGATTTGAGTCTAATTCCCAAGATATTTTATTATACATATGAAAATATTCCAAAAATCTGAAAGAAAGCTCAAATCTGAAATACTTCTTGCTCCCAAGAATTTTGGACAAGGGATAGTCAACTATTAATCCCAGAAAAACTGGGAAAAATCAGGATAAACATTATAGCCTCTTGAGCAAAAAAGTAAAGGGGAAAAAATGACAGAAAGAAGTTAGCTCCAAGGCCAGCTCCAGGGGCATTCAGAGGGATTCCCTGCCTGCGCTAGCACACTGGAAGGGAGGCCATGCCATGCTGCCCCCCACCCCAGCCCCCAAAGGCTGCCTCACACAGGGGTGGGCTTAGAAGCAGGGGCAGGAGGGAGGGGTGGCTGCCTGCGTGCAAAGACTAAAGCCATGTCCAGCAGCTTTGAGGCCACACACTATCTATCGGTCCTTGAGTCAAGGCCAGCCTCCACATCACACCTGCGTTCCTGCGTCCTGGCCTCAGCCCCAGGCTCCCTTTGCCCCCAGCTCCATGCTCCACAGCCTGCAGATTTCTCCACATCCTGTCCCGACTGTGGAATCCTTCTGTGCAGAGCTCGGGCAGGCCCTGTGTGTCTGCCTTCACGGAGCGCCTGCCTTGAGGCTCCTGGCTCCCTATCTGCCCCTCTCATTTCAGACTTTGTTCCTCTACGGTCTTCCCCAAGACACACGCGGAGTTCCTGGAGGCCCCGACTGTGTCTGTCATCTTTCTTTCCTCCCTCAGTGTATCTGCAAAGAATATGCTCAAAGGGCACGCGGACATATTCAGTGTATCAATTTAAAACATTCCTGTGGGGGCCGGTGTTGTGGCGCAGCAGTTCAAGCTCCCACCTGTGGGGAGCAACCCGGACTAGACTAAGTTACTGGAATTAAGACTTATTCTATGCATCTGCTCTCCCACAATATGGCGCTGGGAGAGGAGTAAACAGCTTCTACCCAGCTGCCTCCAGTTCAACCAATAAACTGTAGGACCTGCTCCTGATTGGAGGAGAGCAGCGTACTCGGCGTGTGGGTAGCAGAGTTGGGATTGGTGGAAGAGGACTATAAAGGAGGAGAGACAACATGCACCAGGAACATCTAAGGGGAACATCTATCTGAAGGAACACCTGTGCAGCCCCCGAGAGAGCCGGCCGGCGGTGTGCCGCTCCCCCGCGGAAGTGGGGAATGTGGCAGGGGGAACCGCCCTTCCACGGAGGTGGAAGGGACGGTAGCCAACCCGGGAAGAACCAGCAGCAAACCCGGGAAGGGCCGAGCAGACAGAAGAACAGCGCAGGGTCTTGTGTCGTTCCTCCGCGAAGAGGGGGAGCGACATAATGGTGCCGTGACTCGGATATGAAGCCTAAGCAGGGTTTAGTGTCGTTCCTCCATGAAGAAGGGGAGCGACAGCCACCTGTGACGCCAGCACCCTGTCGGAGCACCTGTTTGAGTCCCAGCTACTCTGCTTCCAATCCAGTTTCCTGTTAATGTGCCTGGAAGGAAGATGGCCTGAGTACTTGGGCACCTGCCACCCATGTGGGACACCCGGCTGGAGTTCCTGGCTTTGGCCTGGCCATCTGGGGAGTGAGCCAGCCCATGGATGGTCTCGGTGTCTGTCTGTCTGTCTCTCTCGATTTGCCTTTCTTTGGTGTTTAAATCCCTGTTCCCAAGCCCAGCAAGGGGAGGTGCTCGCCACAGACTCCGGGAAGCCTGGGTCTCCACTCCTGCGTGGGGGTGAAGCTGCCCGATGGTCACAAGCTGAGCAGCTCTCTGGGAGGTTCTGCAGTGCGTCTCTTCCCTGCCTGCATCACCCCGAGTCCTGCCACTAATGCTCCTCCAATGCCACCTGCAGGCACAGCCTCTGGGGGTCTGTCACTCTGAAGACATCTGCAAGGTCCGAGACGGGGGCTAGGAGTCTGCTTCGAACAGTGTCCAGCTGATGTCCTGGCTGCCGGCCAGGGGCACATCTAGGACTGCCAGGATTTGGAGGAGCAAAGCTCACACAACCCCATTATGGACCGAACACAACTTGGCTCCCCCAACTCAGGGAGACATTTAAACCCCAAAGTCTTATGTTAACCGTTAATGGATTGGAGCAGTGTTGGGGTGCCGTGGGTTAAGCTGCCACCTGTGACACTGGTGTTCCCTATCCCCTATGAGGTCAGTTCAAGTCCTGGCTGCTCTGCTTCCAATCCAGCTCCCTGCTAATGCACCTGGGAAAGCAGCAGAAGATGGACCATCTACGTGGGCCCCTGCCACTCACGTGGGAGTCCCAGGTGGAGCTCCTGGCTCCTGGCTTCAGCCTGGTCCAGCCCCGGCTGTTGCAGCCATTTGAGGAGTAAACCAGCAGAAAGATCTCTCCCTATCTCTCCATCTCTGTCACTGTGTTTCAAATACATAAAAATAAATGTTTAAGAAGCCAGCTAGTGGGTTAATGCTTTAACAGTGGATTAGAGTTGAGTCATAATCTAAATTTGACAGCTGGGAGGTGGGCCCAGGGGTAGGTCTTTTGGTCCTGGGGGCTTGTCCTTGGCAGGTAGCTCTCAGGAGAGGACTGGGTATTCCAGCTGAGTTTCCTGGGTTGCCATGGGACGGCCCCTCTGCACCTGCTCTGCCACCGTCAGCATCCATCAGCCAGACCAGGGAGCCAGCTGATCTTGAACACTGAACTTCCAAACCACTGACAGAAGTAAGCCTTGTCCCCAAGAAGATCTCAGGTATTCTCACTAAAGTAACGAAAAGCTAACCAACGGAAGCCCAATGCTGGGCTCCACCCCTCACTCAAAGCAACACGAACATCTTCGTTCTCTCTCCTGCGGGTTCCTGCATCAGGGAGCGAGGAGGCCAGCGGCTCCCTGCAGGCCAGGCTCCGAGCCCAGGCTCACACACGCGGTGTCTGACTTCAGCGCCACAAGAAAGCCATGTCACTGCCACTTTCCCCAAAAATGCAGAAAGCTTATGCAGAGCTGGTTTGTGGGTTGTCCAAGGGCACACAGCCGGGGGTGGTGGGAATGGGGAAGGGGAGTGGTGCTCAGGTCAGCCTGATTCCACCGCACATGGGAAGGCTTCTTAGGGTTTCTCACTCATCATCAAGGCTCCAGGGAGCACCCCTACATCTCCAGAGGACTGAGGCCATCAGCTGAGACTCCTGATTTGAACCCAGACTCAAGGACACGCCCTTGGGGCTGACACCTGTCACAAAGAACCACAGATCCTGGCTCCTTCAAAGATCACCCAGGGAAAAGTAAGTAAAAGCCTGGGACCCTCTTTCTAACCACAACTCAAGAAATCCCCCAAGGACTGAATGGCCCAGCAACCCCCGGGCCCAACCCCCAGCCTTGTGCTGCTTGTGAGCAGAGCTGAGAGGCGGCAGCCCAGCTGTCCATGGAGTGTGTATAAGAGTGGCCACGCCTCTCAGGTGAGGTCAGCAGGCACTGGGGCTCCCTGGCATCTCAGCCCCCTCCCTACAGAGCTTCTGGCTAAAGCAGAGGGGCAGGGAAAGAAGTGGGTCAGCAGGTCCGAGTGGGAGTCGGGACTTAGAAAGAAAGGAAAAGACTGTAAATCTATAGGGGAAGAGACAGAGGGCCAGCCAAGGGCTAGGAGCAGGAGAGAACCATCACGGCCATTTAGTCAGAGGCCAGGCTAGCAGACCCAGAGGAGAAAAAGAGGGGGCCTTTCTCAGGGGAGCTGTGATGGCTTTGCAGGCAAAGCTGTGAGAAACTCCTGTCTCAAGGCCCCAGCACGTGTGCTGCCTGGGCCACAGCACAAGTGGCCTTGCTGCTGCTGGTCCAGGGGTTTGGCATGGCCATGGCTGAAGGACATGAGGCTGCTGAGCCTGCAAGATGGGCACTCTATGGCCCCCGGGGGCCCCGGCCGCTCAGCTCCCAGGCTGCACGCCCCAGCCTTACCTCCGATTTTCGCGTTGTACGCTATGCCCACGATGCAGTACGAGTTGTTGGCTGAAGCAGCGACTTCTCCCGCACAGCGAGTGCCGTGTCTGAAGCAAAGGAGCAAACACGGTGAGGACCCAGCCCAGCAAATCCTAGAAAACTGCATGCATCGGCAACAAGAGTCAGCTGTCCCCAGATCCCACTGCCTTTCTTGTCGCCACCCTCAGCTGGGAGGGAGCATCAGGCCGTGCTGTGCAAGCTGCACACACCTGTGCATGGGCTGTCTCTTGCAGGATGCCTCCCCTCGCCCTTCAGTCGGGAGCAGGGCACCTGCTCTCATACTCTTGGCCCTGGACTTGTCCCCTGCCTCTCGTCACTTCTGCTCATGGGGCAGGGACCGTGCTCCGTCAGCTCTGTGTCTCTTGGGACTGACAACATGACATTTGGCACACGCAGGTGTAGCATCAATGCCTGCCTACCTGATGGCATGAAAGAAAGCACAAACCAGCACTGATGTCTCAGGTCTCGCCGCTGTGTACCTAGGGCGCCCCTCATCCCCCAGGACGGTCCCCTCAGCACTCCTACTGCCATGTAAGCAGGAGCTAAGGAAGCATGGACACTCCATAGCAGTGAAGAAATTACCAGAATAACCTATCGCTGTGCTCAGTAATGACTCCATTCTCAATGTGCCACCTTGGGTCAATTTCTCCCATGGAGGCCGAAAAATGGGTAAATTCAAACAGCACGTCTCTGAGAAGAGTCCACGGGGACCGAATCATTGATTCAAGTTTAAAGCCGCCTTTAAAAACGGGTCCCCGTCTGGCCCTCTGGAGGGTCTCAGCTGTCATTCCCTTCAACTTGCTTGGCCCTGGAGCTGGGGCCGGACACAGGGCACATGGCTCCATTCGATCCTGCCCTTCAAGGGTCACTGCGTAGGTGCCGGATCACTCCTCCCTGCTCCTGCGGCCCCAGGCGGCCTCCCGGTGGGAGGGCAAGGGCACCCTGAGACGTGAGGCAGGCAGGCAGCCCTGGCAGTGGCCTATGCGGGCCCACACGGTGTCACACAGGCCTGAGTCAGATCAACCTCGGCTAAGGGACGCTGGTGGGAGGGCCGGGCTAGCACCTGCTCCAGAACTGGGGGAAGAATGCAAGGGCGCTTGGGATTTTCCTCTAAACATTTTCAGAAGAACGCTAAGGGCTCAGGGCTTGGGTCTACTGGCAGAGAAAGAACAAGCTAGCTGCACACGTGCGCATCCAGGGCTGGGGCTGCCCAAGTCCCTTTACAAAAGGACGGGCCCGCAACGACCCCCACAGCGCCCTGGGCAGCCGCTGCGCGGATCCCTCACCTACCCTCTCCCCAAACCTCACACCAGTCCCAGGAAGGAGGGCGGCAGCTCCTGGGACAGCTTCTAAGACACAGAGTCCCAGCAACGTCCCCCAGTGGGCAGGAGGCCCCGGCCAGTGAGTGACAGAGCTGGGGTTGGTCCAGCATCACTCAGGGACCCTCTACCTGGCTCAAGAGGTCCAGGATGGTGTCACCAACACTCAGGCCCGTGACCCGTGTACTCCAACACACCACGGCTGTCTTACCCCAGCCAGCCATGGAGACCTCCTTGACCTCCACGTTATTCTTTCTTGAACTACTTCAACACGGTTGGAAACAAGAAACAACCTCCATTTCTAGCTGAGCAGCAGAGGCCGCACCCCTGCAGGAAGAGGCCGGCTCCGCAGAAGCCTCAGTGGCCTGAAGGCTGGTGTGGACGTGGCTTCCAGCTCCTGGATAAAACCCCACCGGACAGCACCCAGGCAGGTGGAGATGCGCCCCCTGCCCCAGCCCAAGCTGTCTCTGGGACCGCTCTGTGCAAGGTGCAGCCTGCAGGGAGAGCGGCGGGGAAGCAAGGGGAGAGGGCACAGAACGACGTACTTATTCTCATTGCTGGCGTCGTACCGCGGGGACGGGTCATAATCGTTCCCGTTGACGTCATAGCTTGCATAGGAGTCCTAGAGAGAAGACACAGAGAGGGTGAGCCAATGGCACAGCCCTTCCACAGCTCCGTCGCAGGCCTCTCTTGGGAAAGAGAGGAAACCACACACAGGGCTTTCCTCGAACTACCCTCGTCCGTGGCTTTTCTACGGTGGTAAAGCAGACACCATACGAAACTCCTCATCTCAGGCACCCGTGGGTGCACAGCTCGGCAGCACTGCGTACACCCAGGCCGCTGTGCAACCCTCACCTCGCCCCTCTCCAGAGCTCCTCAACCTGCAAAACGGAAACCGTCCCCACGCCTCCTTCCCAGGCCCTGGCGGCCACCGTTCTGTGTACATGACGGCTCTGTGTGTCTCCAGTCACTGGAATCCCACAGTGTTCGTCCTCTGTGACGAATCTGCGTCACTTAGCATGTCCCTGAGGCCCGTGCCCATGGCGGCAAGTGTCAGGCTTTCCTTCATTTTATATTTTCAATATGTATGCCTTTTGTCTACATATTTTTAACAGCAGTAGCTCACATAATTTTGTATCATAGGGGCCGGCGCTGTGGCACAGCGGGTTAACGCCCTGGCCTGAAGTGCCGGCAACCCATATGGGCGCTGGTTCTAGTCCCAGCTGCTCCTCTTCTGATCCAGCTCTCTGCTGTGGCCTGGGAAAGCAATAGAAGTGCACCCACGTAGGAGACCAGGAAGAAGCTCCTGGCTTTGGATTGGCGCAGCTCCGGCTGTTGCAGCCATCTGGGGATTAAAGCAGTGGATGGACGACCTCTCTCTCTGTCTCTACCTCTCTTTGTAACTCTGTCTTTCAAATAAATAAAATAAATCTTTTAAAAAATATATCATAAAAGCTTTCTGGCTTTATTGACATAGTCTCCAAAACTCATTTTTTTTTAAGAATTTATGTATTTTTTTATTTGAGTCAGAGTGAGAGAGAGAGAGAGTCAGAGACAGAGAGAGACAGAGAGAGTCTTCTATCTGCTGATTCACTCCCCAAATGGATGCAATGGCCAGGGCTGGGCCAGACCAGGATGAAGCCAGGAGTTGGGAGGTGCACGTCGGGTCTCCCACTTGAGTGCAGGGGCCCTATAATGCTTTCACAGGCACATTAGCAGGGAGCTGGATTGGAAGTAGAACACCTGGGACTCGAACCAGCTTCCGTACAGGCTGCCGGTATCACAGGTGGCAGCTTTACCCACTACACCACAGCACCAGCTATCAGATGGACACAATGTGGCTGACTACACCACCACCGGTACCAGGCTCTTCAGAGTATCGAAGGAATTGATAATATTTACTCTCTACTGGGTTCTCTCCGTCACCCTTATGAACCCACTGAATCCACAGTGATACTATGAGGTAGCCCCCTTTCTTAGCCCCATTTTACACCCAGCTTCCTCGAGGTCTCAGAGTGGTGCCAGGGGCTCACGTGCTAATCCTGTAACTGCTCCTATCGTTAAAGTCCACACAGTGACGGGCTCTGTGACGTGTTTAATTCCGTAAGCTCCATTCTGAGCAGTGGGTGACTCCTCAAACCCATGCTGGCTCCCTCGGCAAACCCTCTCTCCTCGGCACCTGGCCAAGCAGCTGGCAGCCTAGCGCTCGCCTGAGGAGTGGGAGGCAGACGGGCACTGGCTGCTTTCTCAAGTTGAATGCGTCTCAATGGCCCGCACAGCCGAGCCTCCAGGCATCCGCTGCACGGTGAACTTACATAGTTGGGGGCCAGGTCGGGGTGATTGCGCTCTATGCCATCATCCAGGATGGTGACCACCACGTTCTTCCCCGTGTAGCCCCTCTTCCAGGCTGCCTGCACGTTCATTTCCGACCGGCAGCGGCTGTTCCTGTCGCCACAGTGCTGCGTGTACAGAAGACACAAAGCCCCCCGACATGGACCCTCCGGATGCGGAATGGACACCCAGGGCAAACCCACAGCTCGTGCTTGCAAATAAACAGGAGCCGCCCCAGGTCCCACCTCTTCCTCCCTGGAAGCACAAACGTGGAGGGACCCCTCCCTTTCTCTGCACCTGGCACCTGCCTGTCATCCCCCCCTCCCTTCAGGGGCTCAGCCCAAGGTCTGGGGTTCCCCAGTTAGCCCTACAGACTGCATTAAGAGACCCCCCGGACTTCCACCACTTCGGAGAGAATTCACAAGGTGGCTCTCGTGCTGCCCCGCCTCGAAGGAGGGGTTTTGCACTCAAGCTGTAGTGTGACCGCCTGGAGCTGTCGTGCAAAGTCAGCTGTGTTAGGGGAAGCGACCCGCGCCAGGCCAGGGCACCGCCACTCACCATGTACCACATGTTGGACCAGATGGGGTCGTTGAAGTAGAGTGCCTGCGAGTCGCTCCGCACCTGCCTCTTCACCCGGCGCTTCACTTCCTGCTGCTGCAGCCACTTCACCTGCCAGGAAGAAACGGGGACGGTTTGCTAGGGTCTGCGTGTGGGCCGAGCACGTCCCCAGAGGTTCACGTGCCGGAAGCCCGGTTCCCAGCGGGGCAGGTACAGGCAGCAGGACCTAGAAGAGGCGGGTGATTCCGGAAGGTAACTGGGTCACAGAGACTCCACCCTGGGGAGGATCAGTGCTCATGGAGCAAGTGAGTCTCTCGTGACTGTGGGCTGTCGCAAAGCAAGGCCACCCAGGCGCTGGGCCCCTCCTGCACGCGGCCGTTTCTCTTTCTGCTTCTTGACCACACTGGGACGCAGCCAACCAGAGACCACGCAGAAGGGCCACCTAGTCTTGGACTTTCAGCATCCAGAGCTGTGAACCAAATGGACCTTTTCTTCATCAATACCAGCTTCAGGTTTCTGTATCACGACAGAAAACAAAGTCGCAGAGGCCAGCATTGTGGTGCAGCAGGTTGATCCACTGCCTGGTAACGTGCATGGGAAAGCAGTGGAAGACACCCAAGTGCTTGGGCCCCTGCACCCACATGGGAGACCCTGATGGAGTTTCAGGCTCCTGATTTCAGTCTGGCCCAACTCTGGCTATTGAGGCCATTTGGGGAGTGAACCAATGGATGGAAGTTCTCTAACTCTGCCTTTCAGATAAAATAAACAAACGTTTTTCAAAGAGAAGGAAAATGGATTAAATCTGTTTTTAAAACAATCTCCTGATTTTCTATAGTTGTCTAGGGTGTTATATAGCTGTGTCCTAGTAGTGTTTTGTAGCTAGTAGGGTAGGGTGCATTGTAGGGTGCAATATCTGTGTCATAATAGTGTTTTGGATGGTGAGTTCCAAGGGGACATTTTTACTTCATTTTTTAAAAAAGATTTATTTATTTATTTGAAAGTCAGAATTATAGAGAAAGCTGGAGAAACAGACAGAGATCCTATATCCTCTGGTTCACTCCCCAAATGACCACAATGGCCAGGGCTGAGCCAGGCTGAAGCCAGGAACCAGGATCTCCCACATGGGTGGCAGGGGCCCAAGCCCTTGGGCCATCCTCTGCTGTTTTTCTCAGGCCATTAGCAGGGAGCTGGACTGGAAATGGAGCCGTTGGGACACAAAGAAGTGCCCATACAGGATGCTGGCCTTACCCACTACTCCACACGCTGGCCTCCCACTTGTACTTTAGAGTGACCATATTTGAAAAGTGAGAACCTGCATGCATTTGTAGAAGGAGAAATACCACCACTCTGTAGATTATAAAGTCATTCTACCAGCGGAAGGTGGGGGAGGAGGACTCGTGAAATTGCCAATAAACTATCTGATGACCCTTGTCCCCTCCCCCAAAGGAAATGCAGGTTTGGAGAGAGAGGGAGTGAAGAGAGGGAAGACACCGTGATCGAACTGTCATTGGACGACGTCTCACAGTGAGGGCTTGAGCAACTAAATGCTGGAAATCCATTCATTGGAATTGCTGGCAGCCACTAGAAACGAGGTACTGAAGCATGCACAGAGAAAAATCTAGAACGGATACAGCAAACTATTAAAAGCAGCAATGCCTGGATGCTGACATTATGACAAATTCAAACATTTCTAACTGCTCTTGGGATTTTACACAATTCTTTCGACTGTCATAATCTGCCTTCACAACCAAGAAATGAAGTCTGAGAGGTGGCACAAAAGATATTTAAGAGAGGGACCAGGGGCCAGGGTGTCTGGGTCAAAACCCAGGGCCACGCTCCTGGGAAGCAGTCGGCTCTCCTTCCTGGCCTCCGTTTGTCAACCATAGACTAGGGATCATGCCTTGTTGCCAAAAGGGGTAGTATAGCCAGAGCCCAGTATTAGTGCTTGGCACACAGCCAGCATCATTGTCAGATGTCGATTTATTTATGTGTTTATCTGAAAGGTGGAGACAGGGGCCAGCGCTGTGGTATAGTGGGTAAAGCAGCCATCTGCAGCGTCGGCATCCCATACGGGTGCCGGTTTGAGTCCCCACTGCTCCACTTCTGATCCAGCTCTCTGCTGTGGCTGGGCAAGCAGTAGAAGATGGCCCAAGTCCTTGGGCCCCTGCACCCACGTGGGAGACCCAGGAGAAGCTCCTGGCTCCTGGCTTCAGATCAGCCCAGCTCCGGCCATTGCGGCCATTTGGGGAGTGAACCAGCAGATGGAAGACCTCTCTCTCTCTCTCTCTCTGCCTCTGCCTCTGCCTCTGCCTCAATGTAACTCTGCCTTTCAAATAAATTTTTAAAATAAAAAAAGGCAGATATACAGATATAGACACAGAGAAAGAGATCTCCCATCTGCTAGTTTCTTGCCCCCAAATCCACAAAAGCTCAGACGAGGCCAGGCCAAAACCAGGAGCTGAGAACTCAGTCCAGCTTTTACCACGGGCCTGCCACCCAAGGTGTGCATTAGAAGAAAGACGCAACTGGGGGTGGAGCTGGGACTTGAACCTCGGTACAGATGTGGGATGCAGCCGTCCCAAGCAGTGTCTTAGTCACTAGGCCCAACGCCTGTCCCCCAAAGACTGCAGAAAGGTGGACCAGCATTGTGGTGCAGTAAGCACCACTTGGGAAGACTGCAGCCCACCTTGGAGGGCCTGGGATCAAGGCCCAGTCCCTCTGCTTTCCATCCGGCTTCCCGTTAGTGCACCTGGGAGGCAGCAGACGATGGATCAAGTACTTGGCTTTCTGTCACCCACACGGGAGATCAGGATGGGGCTGCTGGCTGCTGGCTCCTGCCTGGCCTAATCCTGGCTGTTGAGGCCATTTGGGGACTAAGCCAGCAGGTGGAAGATTTCGCTGTCTCTCCCTCTCTTGTCTCTCTGCTTTTCCAAGGTGGAAGGAGGAGGAGGAGGAGCCCAAGGTGATTCAGAGTCCAGGCCAAGGCAGGGGACTTGAGGCTGGTCCCAGAAGCTAGGACAGGTGTCAGGGTAAGGAGCCACCTGAGGCCGAGAGGGCAGGGGGCGAGCACTCCCCGCACTTGCCCGAGGGAGGGGAGCACCCTCAGTTTGGAGGGAGGAGGGGATGGTTCTCCAAGGAGTCCTTGGTGTAAGGGCCACTCAGCTCAGAGCAGAGCAGCCTGTCCCACCGCCGGGGGCTTGGCCCAGAAAACACCTGTTCAGGGGGCTCCCCAGGAAACTGCCAGGAGCTCAGGACTGATGGTGGGCTGGGCGCTTCACAAAGCCTCTGCGCCAAGTCTAAGATAATTTATAATGGCCCTGGCAGGTATCTCCAGGGAACACAAAACCGGGAGAGCCTCTGTTCACAGTGGCCGCTGAGGGCAACTTGCAACTGCCCCAACTAGAGAGCTCTGACCTTGTGTAAAATACCGAGGCCCGTGTCTCACAGCCTGTCCACCGTCCTGTCATAAAACCACAGGACTGCATCCCTCTTCCCAGGCTGGGCCCAGCACCCCCAGCCAGCCCCACTTGCAGGGCTGCCCACCAGGCAGAGAAGCAGGTGAGAGGGTGGCTCACCCTTACCCTCCACCCCCAATCAGCTGGCATTGGCCAGAGGGCACGAGATATTCCCTGGTGGGATGGCAGAGCCCCCGGCCCCTCACTGTTGCTGGGCTCAGGTTAAGTGCCCCCCCCCCCATCCATACAGCGCTCTGAGGGGCTGTGACAGCACCAGGTCTGCAGCACGGTGCTGGGGGGTTCTTGCTGGCTTGGTTTCAGGGGCAGCCTGCTCAGTCTAAGTCTCTGGCCAAGGAAGACTCTGCCAGGCCAAGGGGGCTGAGAGATTATTTGCCAGGGATGGGGGGTTCTGGACCCCGACTCTGTGGAGATGGAATCCAGGGGGCCAGTGCAGTCACGGAGGCGGGTCAGCCAGTGGGCACACGGCTTCCTTGTCCAGGCTCTTTGCCCATGCCCAGGAAAGTGCTAGGGGATCCCACACCCGACTTCCTGTGCTAGGGGATCCCACACCCGACTTCCTGTGCTAGGGGATCCCATACCCGACTTCCTGTGCTAGGGGATCCCACACCCAACTCCCTGTGCTAGGGGATCCCACACCCGACTTGCCGTGCTAGGGGATCCCACACCCGACTTCCTGTGCTAGGGGATCCCACACCCGACTTGCTGTGCTAGGGGATCCCACACCCGACTTCCTGCCCAGCACAAAGAGTGCGGTTTCCCCGTGTCCTCCTTCCCTGATTTCTCTGGTCAGTGGGCATTCTGCGCGTTGTCTACCCAGCTGCTCACTCAGCTACAATGTACTGGGTATTCCTGAGTGTCTGGCACGAGGTACCTGGAATACACCTGGTCCGGTCCAGGGCCAAGGTGCCTGGCCCTGCTTCCCCAGCTGGGACACAAAGCTCAGGCTGAACCCAGAGTCCCCCGGCCACTCTGGGGAAGGTCAGCCGTGTGCCGATGACCCAAGTCACTGCAAGTTGAACTCTCATCCAACAGAATCAGAACCTGCCCACGAGCGAGGGGCACCCTTGACAGACCCTTCAGGGTTCTCGTTTTGTGAGTGGTAATGCAGCGTGTGATGGAGGGCTACGGCCAGAGTGCAGGCGGAGAAGGACACGCATACCTTGCACGGTCAGCTCTCCGTGCGGGGAACAGTGGCCATGCTTCCCTGTCACTCCATGTGCAAGCTGCCATCAGGGTCTCTTCACCGGGCCCCTCCCAAGCTCCCTGCGGCTCAGACCTCCTCTTAGCGGAGGAGGCATGGGGGGAGTCAGTGGTGCGCACTGATCCACGTTTCAAAGCCCCCGACACCTGGAAAGCAAAGCCCTACACAAGAGTTACCTATGACCGAGAGCCTGCAGCAACACAAAACGACATTGTTGTGGCTGAGGACAGACAGCAGGAGCCGGTGTTGTGCGTGGGGGCTGCCATCTTCTCGTGTGGAGACTGCTCCCTTTCCAAAGCCCTGAGACCACGGGATCGTGGGAAGGGGAGCTACTGCTAGCCAGGAAGCTCCTGCGCATTCTAGCCGATTCCCTGCAGGTTTAGGGAAAGCGTCATTAAGACATGGATCGTGGCCGGTGCCGCGGCTCACTAGGC